GGCGGGTGGCGGGTGGACAGCTTCTCTCTGTAGTCTCCATGAGGATTAGACGCTCAGAACCCTGTGTTACCTGGGACCACTTTTCCACGCCTGTGCGAGAGTCTGACAGACCGTCCGAGACCTTCTGGCCCGGGGAGCAGGGGGCGCTGAACGGACCTGGGGCGTTCATGGACGTTCTGCGGCCTCTGGCATTCCCAGCCTCCGGACCGGACCCGGTTAGAAACCCGTTTTCAAAGCTTCTGATCAGCCTCTTAGTGACTTACTCTTAAAAATGACAGGGCATCGAAGAATAATCAAATATTAGAAGAAAGCCTCCAAAAGGCAAGGAACAAAGGCAAAACAGAAACTCTGAGGAAACAGAGACAATGCTGAGCCTAGAAGAATACTTCAAAGAAGACATGATGTTCTCAGAGATGAGAGATGTTAATCCTTAGAAAAGAACAGAATGTAATTTTTCAAAAAAAAAAAAAGATGGAATTTGTGGGTTTAAAACTATGATAGCTGAAACAAAAACTCAGGGCAAGGATAGGAAGAGCCAATTAAAAAAGCAGAAAAGAGATGGACAATGAGAGAATAGTAGGAGGATTTATGGATCAATTCCAGAAAATCTCTGACTAGTTAGGACAAAGAAAACCGTCATTAGAAAATTAATTAAAAAATAGTATTTCTTAAAAGTGAACATGTAAACCCTCAGTTTGAAAGTGCCCATTGGTGTTTGCATAATAAACGAAAAATGCTGAATCAAAGCAAATCATCTGGAAATTTTGAGACTCAAGTGTCAGCCAGTAGCGGGCCGGGGATTTGGCTCAGCGGTACCGCCACCGATCTCATAAGCCCAAGGACCGGAGTTTGATCCTCGGTACCAAAAAAAAGCCAATAGAGAGGGCAAAAGAAGCGAAGGGAAAGAGCAGTCAAGGATCAGGAATGTAAACTAAGTTTTTCAAAAATATCGATGGGAGACAGAAGACGACAGAACAATGTCTTCAGAATTCCGGTGAATTTTGGCTTACAGTATCTGTTTAAATGAGCGAATCAAATGGGGCGTAGAGTAAAACGTTTTCAACATGCAGGGCGTAAAAACTGGGAGGCTGTAGCCACTAGAACTAGGGAGTAACCCCGGGAAGAAGCTGCAGGGGAGCCAGCTCAGGACAGAGGACCTGGATATTTCCAGGGCAGTGGCTAACGCAAAGCCCAGCAGAAAGGCGCGGCAGCCTGAGGTTAGAAAAGAGTTCGGGTTAGAACGGGAAGAGGTGGGGGAAGAGACGGGTCACTCACGAGCTCAGAAAGCTAAGAAAACATGACTGGTAGGTCTAACATTCTGTACCACGTGGGAGGAGTGACCGAGCGACGCCGCAGAGCTGCTGTAGGGTGTGGGACGACTCAGCTAGATACACAGGACAGGCGAGGCGGTTATATGTATGGGGGGGGTTAAAAATTGTACTAGAGGGAAATCAGTCATTTTCCAGTGTTTGGCTCCCGTATGAACAATGGCCTCAGTAATTACACCAAATAAAGGTTAAACCAATTTTTTTTTTGCATAACTTTGAGCAGGAT